TGACGTGTCCCACAAATTATAATATTAATTTACTCATTTTTTGTGTTCACACGGGTTTCGCCTTGGCTTATTCCATTGGATCGTCTCAATTTCATCTTACCCCACCAACCAGATCCAATGCCCCCCCCCTTAGCTAGACATGATTTTCTATTCCTTAGCTTACTGAACTGTTCATCCTTTCAAGGTTCGAAATCCCCGAGGACTATGAGAAATTTTTCACTCCCTCTGAGAGGAGCTTGGTTGTGGACTTCGTTCTCAAACGCACGGGGACTCGGTCGCAAGTTATGGGCTCTTTGTCAGCCGATGAGAGTGAAGACCCCGATGCCGATCCTCAACTCTTAACAGCCGAGGAAGTGGAATTCGAGAAGCAAACTCGAGCTCAACCCGAAGATGTGAAATTGGCCACACGTGGAAAGGTGGAGCTGGGTATTGACAATTTGATTAGTGAGAAAGTTTTTCTCGCGGCTTTCCCACTGCACGAGGTGAGTACTTTCAAAGCATTTCCCCCTCGGGTAGACCTCTGCTTTTGAGTGGATGGAATGTTGAATTTTCTCTCCTTTTTTTAGCCTTCTGAACAACTTCTGGAATTGTTGAAACTTCGTGGGGTCACTAGTCCTGGAACCAGCGCTTCCCCGGTAACTCATTCTCTTTTACGCTAACTCATGTGCATGCCTGTTGTCATGACATTACAAAAGTTAGAACCAATTATAATTTGGTTATTTCTGTTGCGGGGATGTCTGGATTGTACTTTTTTCTTAACGATTTTTCTCTTTTAATTATGGGCCTTGGGAGTTTGTAAATCTCCCTGCTTTGTAGGCGCTTTAATTGACAAATTATTTTTTTTTTAATGAAATGATTAACTATGATTGGGGGGGGGGGGTCAGAAGTGAGTGGAAGGGCTCAGTTTATTATAGAAAATAATGGAATAGTTGCAATGAGTAATCCATTTTAATTAATCTATCATATCAAGCTCTATGTGATTGCGCTTGTCATAAACTATGCCATTAGTTAATCCTTCACTCCACATAAAGCCATAATTATTGCTAAATGGTTCAATTTCCACGATGGTGATTGACAGCCTTCATCCATTTTTTGTAATTAATTGCAAAGTTGGGGTGGTGTACACAGAGTTATTCAAGTAAATATTTTTAGATTTTACCTACCAGTATTATGGCGGCGAATTATACTTCTACAGTGATACACACACAACCACTTTTGTATTCTCAAGCCAACATTTTTTTAGTGGTGTTTGTACTCTTGAAAGTTTTTTTTTGTTTTAAATCATTTTAAGCAGTTTCCTTTCTGTTACGTCGGTTTCTTCATCACCTGATCTGCTCTGTTTTCCCATATGGCATGATGATTTATAAGTCTTGGCGGCAGATATATTGATTAAAGCAGCTTTCTTTGTATCGAATTGGCTAGTTTGCTAATATCAATCTTATGTACACAAACTTGAATCTGTTGGGTGGGTGGGCGGATTTGGGTCTTTGGGCTACTCGGATCATGTGTTGGTTCTGCAAAATCACAGTTTCATTGCAAAGTAAATTGCTTTCCTCTAGCCTTTGAGCATTCAATGTGATAACATTCCACATTTTTGCTCTTTGTCTGTCTCTCGTCTTCCAAGCAGAACGCTCCTAGGATATCACAGTCCTCCTGGAGGTCAGAGAGAATTCGAACCATTTTAGCGGCATGAACCGTGAACGACCTAGTTTTACATAATATTTGTGTGTGTGTGATGACTCGACATTTTACCCTGTCTTTGCGTTTTGTGTTAATGTTTTAGACGGATGTGATTGAGAACAATATGCGCACACTGTTGACTAGCCAATGGGCAAATTTAGGGAAGATGCTTAAACACCAACCACTGGACTATATTCGGTAAGGGAATTTCATATCTTTACCCTTTTATATCAAGTTCAAAATACTCTCAGATTCACTCGACATGCACAATAAAAGCAGAAAAAAAACTTTTTTTTAGTAAGAAGGGACGGAAAAAAGGACAGATTAATAAATACGTCTCATTCCTAAAAACAAATCCGTATGACTGACAGTAGTTAAGTTGGTTAAAAATCTGGCAACTTTTTTTTCGCCTATGAAAATTTAGATCACACTTGTGTTTAAAGTACACTTGGTGGCTTAATTAAAAGATGTGATTTCAAATTGGTGGTTTTTTTGCAATTTCTCCTCGAAACAAATAAAAACGCTTCAGGAATTGAGTTTTTTGAGGAGATTGTAGCGGATTTATACTTTATTCTCGAACATGTAGCGGATTGCTACCTTCGTAAAGCCTTGGTTAAAGACTTGTAGCGGATTGCTACCTTAGTAAAGCCAGACCGACTCAGAAATCTCTATGGCAGATCCTCCTACATCTACCTAAACTCCCAGACCCGGCTAGTATAGCCCAGCTATAAAGGAAACAGACGTGTAGCACGGGGCGCCCAGCTATAAAGGAAACAGACGTGTAGCACGGAGTACGCGAAACAGACGTGTAGCACGGAGCACGCTTATTCAGTACGGGTATCGCGGATTAAGTGTGTATACGCATGGAGCTACTCATGATCAGGATGGGGGATTAGGTTAAACAGAGGTTGATGATTGGTCACTGTTTGTACGGTCACTGCACACAGAGTTGTACGGCGCACCTCCCAATCCTGGCGAGCAGACATGCAGGCATACGATGACGCACAGAGCGATAACGTGTCCCACAAGATCGATTAAAAATTTTAGCATTTATAAGTGTTGGACACTGAGCGCCATGCAACTCTATCTAATTAATTAGGCTTTCTGTCCCAATAAGATCGCGGGTTTATCAGCAGTGTTGGGTTTTCATCTTATTTTCGAGTCTGTCCAAATCCAATCTTTGCTAATAATAATAATAATAATGATAATAATGATGATCCTGTTTTCCTGTTAGGGTGGGAATTTTCTAGGTATTGACCACGCAAAACTGGTTTTCCACTTATATCCGTTTCAACTTCACTCCAAATGCGTTTTAACCCTGTCAAATTACAATTTGAAGCGCTTAATTTAATAGGGGTTTTTATTAAAGTATTTCAGCTATGCTCTCTACGATTGTTTACCTGATGTGAGGGTGTCGATGTGCACTTCTTTGACTACGATCCGCAGTTTGGCACTGATTTTACGAGTTCAGATTGATCTTTGATCCAGTGTTTTCGTGGAATGTCGCGATTTAGTGTTTCTTTATTTGTTGTCTACGGCAAAAACAGTATTCTTGAATCCTTTAGCGCCCGATTAATTGTTTTTTTTTGTCAAATGCACCCAACCGCACTCACGCACGTCTCACTTCAGAGTGATGTCGCTGACGTGTGTCAGGCGAAGGCTGGAGACACGTAATGACTATGTTTTTTTGAAAGGGCAATATTAGCACCTTCTATTGCGAGTCTATTGTACCAATGGAGGTTATTTTGAAAGAGGATCGAATGGTGCCCCGAAAAGGGCTAATAGAGTGGGGATACGAGACTGGAGAAAGTGAATACTTCATAAATGAGCTGATTAAAAAGAAGGGTAGATTCAAATCCAAATTTCAATTGAACTCTCTACACTGGCTTAGTTCTGGGTTTTGCAAGTTGACCCATGCCTTAATGCCCTATATTTGGCGCTCTGTTTGTTTTTCAATTTTGAGTTGCTTCAACGATCACCCCTGTCTAAAATATCTATTGAGAAGTTGCCTCTGTGCCTTTTGATTCATTTTCGATGATCAGTCTTCTGTGCTTATAAACAGGTATTTCATGACCAAATGCGGTCCATATTTCAGCTTTAATTAATGTTTTCCGCCAAACACTTGAGAGAGCATATGAGTTAACTTGATATTTTCGAACTTTGTAGTTTCAACAAAGTGGAGATTATGCTTCCGAAATTGATATTACACTTCCGAAAAACACCCACGCTTCCACATGCAGTCTTTGTCGTACTCCTCTCTTCTACGTTGTTTTTTTCTTTTGATTTAGAAGAATCGGTCATGCCGATGACACGCCTTTTTCTCCCAATGTTTGGGAATCCAAAATGATCTCACTAGGTTACTCCATGATTTACAGTTTTAAGATTGCAGAGATCTGAGGACTGTTTTCTCCTTCTGTTAGCTCATGCTAAATTCTAAAACTCATGAGGATTAAGCGAAGTGAGAACTTTTGTTCTCTGCTTTCGGTATGCCTTCAATTCTTCCCTCTCCTTGATGGCTTAGTAAACTGTCTGTTAATCGACTTCATTCCATTCCTACAAGTTCGAATTGGACCGATTTGTACTCATGTCCATTATGCTGTTAATTGCATTCCATTTTTATGATCGCACATGCTTTGGATGATGATGAGAGTGAGAGGGGAGGGGGTGAGGAGGGGACATCAAAATTACAAAAAAGTGGGGAGCGGGAACAGGTGAGTGATTCACAGGTGTACATAGTCACAAAGATAGAGAAAAAGGTAAGGTGAATACTGTGGAATTGATCTACTATGACATGGAATGGGCTCATGATGATGAAAAGGTGTTTCAAGCAGAGTGTGTGTGTGTGTGTGACTGGCTCCAAAATACACCTTCCCAAACCAATACAGGTGTCCCACAAACATGTATGTAGATATCTACCTTCAAGTGGTCTGCTTCTTGCCCCCTCTAATCACTGGGATTTGCACCTTTCTCTCCCNCCCCCTTCCCCCCCCCCCATTGTTTGTGCTGATTCCCTATTGATCATGTGACACCATGTCCTAGTTAAAAGAATAGTCCAACTTTGACGCTCACGTAACTTGAGTTTTTGTTCGTAATTTGCTGCTTTATTTTGCAGTCAGGGCTATTTTGCTTGCTACTACTCCCTTTCGAGCAATTAAATGTTCTTCTAAGTATAAAATATGAGTACAATGTGGTGTTTGCTGGCAGCTGTTTTAAGCCGTTATCTGGTTGCATAAGCCGTGGTATAGATGGGAACGATTGTTGTTATCTTTAATAAGAAGAAAAAGGATCACTAGGTGGTTTTTTGACTGAGAGGTCTCAACCCATAGGTAGTAAGTTTGTAATGGCGGGGGGGGGGGGGGGGGGGGGGGGGG